CTCTGTGAACACAAATTAGTTAGCATAAATCAGTTAAATGACGAACAATTAGCTGTCTATTTACTTGTGATCACTCAGTGTATATCTCATATGATTACAACAAGGATCTGCAACATGATAAAGATATCTCTGAAACTACCTACAATTCAATTCACTAATTCCTGAAATATCTGAAACAAATTTTTAATAAAGTAACTTTTGTTATTATTCACCTATTTTATGCAGCAACTGGTATGATGTTAACCAGGCTTCTGGAATTGATGCAGCTTCTTCAAAGCTAAGGTCCTTGGGCACTGGCATGATATGATCTTCATGAGAAGCAACAAACTCTGCATAACCTACAGAAAAATTATCAGGAATCACAGATCTTTCATTTATATAGACATTCCTTCAGATATTGTGTGTATTAGTTAGAAAATCATAAAATAAAAAAATACAGTAGTTGATTTTAACAACCCAAGTGTTCTCCAGTAAGTTCAGTAACTATAACCTAACAAATTGAAATGATAAAACAAAGATAGTTTTATTATTTGAAAATAATCATTTGCACATGAAAAGTAATCGCTTCAGATAAAAAAAAAATCTTATTATAAATGTATATCTTATTAAGAATTTGTTCTTCTCTTCCAAATAACTTTTGTGAGTTTCTTTTTAAAGCATTTTTGTGGGCCCCCTAATTAAAGATAATTACAGAAAGAAAAAACAATTATGTCACTAGCCTCACATGCAAGTCCATCCTTATAAAAACAAGTTTGGGGCTTCTTTTTTAATACAATCAGGAAAAATTCAGCACTGAAAATTAAAACTCCATAAACTGTGCTATTAAATTTAAAACTACCCTTGTTGAGTATTCATAATGTACTTCTTCTTAACACTAATGTTTAACATAAATCACTCTTGTTCTAACACAGCATCATAAATAACATCATATTTACTAGTAATGTGCTTTCCTTTTATCAAGCATTCCGGTTTCCCATAAGAATGAAAAATAATTGTTTACAAAATTAGCTTATTCTTATTCTTCAGTTTTCCAATAGCATCTTCCTTCTTTTGCCTGCAATAATGTATTTCAATGTTAATCACTGTTTTGATCATTTTACAATACTAGTTTTTATCTTATAAATTTTCATTCCATGTCTTCTGGCTTTTAGGACATTTTTGGTAATCTAGGTCTGGTCAACAACCTTTATTCTATAATAATAATTCCTTCTTATCTGGCAACTTTGCTATTAAAAAGTATACTTTTCCCCCTCCAGCAACCAAAATGTACTGTTCTCCTAATACACCTACCTCCACCTGCCAACAAGGCCATCACATTGTCACCTGGAGTCCAGCCACTAGTGCAACCTGGACCAAGTTTTTCTACTACACCTGCAACTTCCAGTCCAAGAATATCACTTGCACCAGGTGGAACAGGGTAATTACCCATACGCTAATGGATGTAAATATAGTACTTTTTCATATCTAGTCAAATCATTAGGAGTATTCAGTCAATGTAACAGTTCTAATTTTATGCTCCAATTTCACTACTCTAACATATGTTATTTACACACAAAGGGGGAACTTTGTACGACTTTATAATGCCAATTATACTCTACTAACAGACTGCATTGATATAAATGCAGACTGTATACAAAAGATAGACACATGGGGAAAACTGTACCTATTTTATGCATCAGTATGATTCGAGGAACCAATGCAAAGGTGTTGATCTTGGGATGGAAAGAGAAGAGCAGTTGTCCCACTAATATTTTATTATATATCACATTTAAGAATGAAATGCATTGCTATTTATTTAGCTTTTCAGATTCTGGCTGCTTTTTTTTTGAAAATACATTTTAACAAATAATTAGTTCTTTCTACCTCAATATATTTCTTTTATCTATGCCTCTGAACAAAAGTCCTTCTAATGCAGCAAACTTTTATCAATTCAATGCAACATTTTCACTCAATTAACAGATGAAAGAACCAGATTAAATTAATCAAACAAAAATATTACCATTCTAAAATATCTGTAGGTAATGATTAGAGCTGAAACAAACACTCAAATAACAATACAGTTTATAATGAATTAATAAATAATGATTGAGGTTAAATCATTTTCTCACACAAAGCTCACTTCACCTCACCCCCAAATATAGTGAGTGTGTGTGAAGCATAATGAATGCTAGCTGAGAGATTGGAATCAATGAAAAACTTTTTAGGTAAAGCAACTCAAATCACATGACAGATACAAATAATTAAGTGACGTAATAAATATTTGAATTTTTCATTGTGCCTCAAATCTATGAGTGAAAAGTATAAAAATGCTAAATATAAATAAATACCAATTTGGGAGCTGATTGGTGGTAAATGCTTCTGACAGCACTAAAAATGAAACAAAAGGACAATTTACATAGAAATTATCTATTAGGACAGGGTTCATTACCAGTGGGATTATTAATGGTTATATCTGAATGCAGAAATTTCTGAGAATGAAGTCAGTACTGAATATTATTTAGTAACACTGAGTATTCTCTTGTAAACAAACTGTATATTCTATTATCAATAATGTGAGTAATTGCTTTCAACAAGATGATAAACAAAGTGCAACAAATATACAAAAAGAAATATTTTCATTGTCTTTATTGATGACTATTCAAAAACAGTTAATACTTATATTTGAATAGCAAAATCAACTATTCCTTTCAGATATAGTAGTGACATGATGCATTTATTGATGTATTTAACAAAATAACAAATACAAACTGTAAGGATAATTTCTGTTATCGTAACTGATAACCAACCTGAAGTAAATCAACTCTGTTAACAGCTGTTGCCACAACTCGAATCAGAACTTCTTTCTCTCTAAGGCTGGGGATAGGAACTTTCCCAATAAACAACTTTTCTGGTCCTCCAAGCTCAAACTGAGCTGCTCTCATATTTTCACTCGTCATCTGTCTCTAGCTTCAAATAATGTTAACATATATAAGCTGCATAATTTTCTACTTTTTAATAATTTTTACTACAATTCAAACCATTTTATTGCTCTTACCAATTGATTTAAATTTATTAAATAGTATATATTAAATACCAAACAAAAAATGCAAAGTAGACTCTTTTCTCTGCAAGTCAATATTCACACATGTACTTAGGGTCATTTGAAGTTTGCTTTGTTATAGCCATAAATATTTCAAAGATGATGATATTGATTAATGCCATATGAAAATTGTTATATTATTAAAGTGCTGAATGTTTTATGTGCTGTAAGCATACAATATGACAATTCAAGTTAAATGCACTTAAATAGGTCATATTATTTGGAAAGTTGGTTAGAGAATCAAATAGGCCTTCTGTATGAGTTATTTTTGAGATTTTGAAATTTTAATTGGTTAACTTTTCATCTGACTAATTAAATTTCTCTCACCTAGAAAATGAAGAATGTGCAAAATCAGTTTCCAAAAGATTAATGCATCTAATCTATTTTTGTAATGAGTATTTTGGATATATCTTTCTTACATGTTTTGTTACACTGTGGTATTACTTGATGGCTGAATTATATATAAAAAATGTTTTTTTGTACATATATACCAACCATTATATGCGCAGTTTTAAAGAGAATGATCATATCACATACAAAAGAAGAACATAGGTTCCTAATCCATTGAGATTTTGCTGTGTGCATATAACTTTCGTGCAGAATACAGCAACATATACTGAATCACTTGTATTAAGTTAAAAGATTACGCTAAAGTCAGAACAACATATGTATACAAAATCAATCAGGCTTAAGAGGGGCCACTGATACACTTAGCAACCTCTGAAGTTATATCATATCCACTTATTAGTAAAACAAAATAAAGGCCAAAATTCTTTATAAACAAGTTCACCATTACTTTTATCACTAATATTAATGACACTAATTCACAACCTAGGTAACACAAATTACTTTATAAAGATACTTGCATTTGAATTATTTCATTGTTCTTCTGTAAATGTTTTTAAATGAAAATGATTTTTGCCATTATATTATTAAAGAGGCTGAAGTGTAAAATTTGAACTGTTCACTGAACACATTAAATGATCTTTTGACATTTGTTCATCCTTATATTTTGTTTCAAATTTAAACTACTTTGTGTTTGCCTTAATTTTAAGATTCAATTAGAGAGTAAAAATCTAGCTTTGATTAATTTCTTATCAAATTGCTATTACATTTCAACACAGATTCTCGCATGATTTGGCTTTAAATTATAATTTCCTTCATAAAAGAACATTACTAGAGCTTTCAACTGATTGATACTGGTTACCCTACAAACCTACTGATCTTAGATCTACTAGTACTATTACTAATAATAGCATTAAGTAGTTCACAATCCTTACACATGCCGTATCTAGTTTTAGCTCTACTATCAGCAGTAGGGCTGCTATATGATAAGTAATCACATGCCATATTCATATTTGTACGGCGGCCCAGTACAAAGATAATTACCTTCGATATTTCAAGAAATACTAAAATAAATTCAACAAAACGCATCACTAACACAAAATCCGACAAATGTAAACTTACGCACCCAAGTTCGCTATGTTTTCGGGACTAAACAATGTCTGAAATTGAAACGCATGAATTACAATATTAAAGATATTAGTTTACAATATCTAACAGTAACACATCATGCATATCTTGAAATAATTGTTAAAAACATAAAATGACGACACCAACTTTTCCACCTACATAATATCTTTATTGTATAAGGTTAAAAAAATACACGATCTGCGTGTTTCGATGACAAAATGATCCACCATTTTCGATCAGCCTTATGACTATGAGAGAGCTCACTTTAGAGATTAAAAGAAGAGCTGTTTTTTACATATTGTTACGCCTCCGTTCGTTAGTTAATTTTCCGTATAATTTCTTTCTGATGAAACTTTAGCGATACAAGTCCTTTCTTAAATAAAACTGGTTTATTCTCAATACAACTTTGCAATACACTTAATTTCCAAAGTCACGCTATAACAAACGCTATTTCACAACGAACGTCTCACGTGCTCGAATCAAAAATACGTCTCTCTGTGTCCGCAGTTCAATTACCCATAACATTGTTCCCGTCACGTCTTGACCGTCTTATATATAAAAGAATACCGAAATCTAGTAAACGCTCCAGCATTCAGGAAGGGACAGGATCCTTCTAGAAGTTCATGACGTGTTACTAGGGTCACGTGACTTCCGCTGTCGTAACAATATGTTTGTTTATAGTTGAGCAAAAAGCTATACAATGGGTCATCTGTGCTGTACCCACCACGAATATTAAAACCCGGTTTCTAGCCAGGACCAATTAATTGCAGGGCAAATAGGGCAACTGCCCAGAGCCACCAAGTTACTTATTGTCCCCAAGAAGTTCAAAATAAAAATAAAATGAAATAAAAATAGATGAAAATGAAAAACATATATAGATAAAAATAGGTCTAATAGAACATAAAAGTAAAAATAGATCCATTTTTAAAAATAAATATGTTACATCTTTTCAAGTCTATGAATGCCATTGTTTTTGAGTCTAATATTTTTAAATTGTATATTTGTAGTGAAGCACAAAGCTACACAATGGGCTATCTGTAATCTACCCACCACAGGTATCGCGACCCGGTTTCTATCGTTGTGTTACGACAGCGGAAGTGACGCAACGCTGGGAACATGCGTGCTGGATTTTCTAGAAGGATCATGAATATTCCTGGCAACTATGGTTTGTTCCAGGCGCCCTCTTTTTTTTTAGTAAATAAGCCTGGGGAGAAAAACCAGCGCGATCAAAAAAAGACAGAATTGCATAAATAGATATAGATATAGATAATTGAGTCAAGCAAACAGTAGGCACCGTAAGTAAAGTGTGTGAATCGCTGTGAATTATAGCGTGTGTTTAAAAAAGTAGTTAAGTTAAAGTGACTGGAAATTCGGTGTATTACAAAGTTGTATCGAGAAAGAATAAACTAGTTTTATTTAAGAAAGGACTTGTATCACTGAAGTTCCTTGGAAACAATTTACACCGGAAATTAACAAACTAACAGAGATGTAACAAATTGGTGTCAGAGAGTGGGATGGAAAAGAAAAAACGATGGAAATGAGAAGTGGCAAATCAAACTACAGCTTAGCAGATTGGGTGGCAGCAATACAAGAACAGCAAAAGAAACAAGAAGATAGATTACAGCAGCTGTTACTAAAGATACAAGTGAAGCAAGCACACCCTTCTACTATGCAGGATGCAATGGCCAAAGCTCTTGAATTTGAATCCTATGTTAAGTCCAGC